AGAAACAGTGCCTGCTACCCCGAAGTCTGAGCCAACTTCCAGAGCCCTCAAGCGCCACCACCTGAAGAACATCAGCGCCCCGCTGACGCCCAAAGGTAAGAGGCAGCAATTCCCTTCTGCTCTTTGGGGTACCTCTGTCCTCCGCTGCCCCCACAGTCCCCTGGGAGGGACTCACTGCCTGGGGCTCCTTCCAGCTGGAGCCAGCTTTCCTAGGGATGGGCACCTGGTCCCCCATCCCTGCTGCTTTCCCCCTTGTGGCCAGATGTTTCCCTCTTTACTACCTGAGCAGCAAGGTAGCATTTTGACTCTCCTGCTTGCCTGCTGACCTTCCTCAATGCTTTGTTCAATTGAGTTTACCTGCTGGAAATGCCACACGTGAGCAGGCGTTTCAGTTGATTAGGACAGAAGTACAAGGAATGAGGGTTCCATTGTATTTGCAGTAATGCCACACAATAAAGCATGGGTGTCTTGTGTGTGTGTTTTTCTTGTTTTAAGCTAATCGCTTTTGGTTAGGATTGCTGTGTTTCTCAGTTGCTTCCAGAGCCATGGGTGCCTCACAGTAGAGTGGAGACAGTAAAGGAAAAGCTACGCCCAACAAACTGTGCAACACAGGCCAGGGCTACTAAGGCAGCACTCATTTTAAAATGTACATTTAAATAGGTTACTTTCCATTGGTTTTTGGTGAGGTATTTTAGTTGATTACCAATAAGTGGTTCTGGACATTTCCAGGGAAGCTCATGAGCCTGGGGACTAGTGCCTGGCCAGAAACTGGTTCTCAGAGCGTCAACTCTTAGATCCTGGTGGTTCAAGTGAGGTGGTTATAAATGTTCAATCAGGTGCCACTACTGGGTAGAGGTTCAGATATGCTACAGGCAAACTTTTTCATCAGCTTCGTTTCTCACCTGGTCTGAATGGATTTGCCCTTTTCTTCTGTACATGGAGAGCCTTCATTTGTACCAAATATAGGTGATACGTTAGGTCAAAAAGCAACACTAGGTTTTTAGATTTTACTTTAGGGTGCTCATCTTTCCAGGTATTCCAAATTATAAATTTTGTTGTAAAGTATTTAAAATGAAATAAAATTTTGCTCTTTTTGTATGTGGTAGTTTTTCAGATATCAGCCACTGTTATTTTCTATGGCATTTGTATCAGAATTGATCAGTTAATTTGTTTTTTCTTAGAACAAGACAAGAGGAAGAACAATGATGTAAGTAAAAGTTGAAGAGTTAAGTAAGAAATTAATAGTTTGATATAAAATTGTCTGCTGTGATTCCTACAAACTATAATGGGTGGATACCAATAGCATGGACCTCATTTGTAGGTGTTCTCAACCTCCTCTATTTTCCTAATTATTCTAGATTGAAGGAGAATTTATTCCTTCAAATAGTGATACTTTTCAAAAAAATATGGTCTGGAACTTCTGATTGATAAGGAAAAAGTGGCTTTGCAATGAAACCATTAAAACAAGCAAAATGGTGTTTTATACAATATATGGATCTTTCTGATTATAGGCTACTGGCAATGTTAAAATGCTCTGTATTTTAAAAGGCATCAAGTAGATTATTCCCCTGCCCAATCTCTTGTGCATTTGTGGGGGATGCTGATGGGGAAGTATGACAGCATGAAGAACGCTATTTTCTATGAAATGAGGAAGGATGG